GTTCGAGCACATAAGAGTGGAGGAGATGAGGGTGCTAAATAATGAGAAAGTTTGTTTGAGTCGAATGGTCATCCGATAAGTTTGAAAAGTCATCTTTTGGATGTTACTCATGGTGTGATCGAGTCCGACTGTCCGAGATCTCCAACATTGTGTTACCTGAGGAATTCAGGAAGATGCTTGATGAGTTATTCTTGCTCAATGGGGCTCTTAATATAGGTTATTTCGTACCTTAGGTGAATTTTCTCCATTTGCTGGTCATAATGTGATGTGATTTTGATGCGCAAAAAAGGATTTCGAAATTCCTATAAATTTGAACGCGTGAATTGATATTTTTTTTACTTGGATTATTTTCTCTTATAGGGTTACATAAAGAGAATGAAGGGCTGTGAGCAAAAAGTCGAATAGGTTCTTGGAGCATGTGTTGGATGAGCATGAGGCTCGTTGAGTCGGAGTCAAGGATTACGAGGCCAAGGATATGGTTGAAATACTATTGCAATATGCAATCCTAATCATGAGGTGAAGATTAAAAGACACGGGGATAAAGGCGTTGATCCCGGTAAGAATTAATATAACCACCTCTTTATTGAGAATTATTGCGCACGTGATCAGTTACTCCCGAATCAATTATAATACAGTTCATAGAGGATGCAGATAGGGCAAAAACATTACCAGAAGTTTGAGCCATGTCCCAGAGATGAATGAGGATTTGTAGTAGTGACCTGACTGGCATCTTTAGGATCCACAGTCTTATTTGTGTCCTTGTTTTTACTAGGTCACAAGTAAGGGCGCAGATCCCAACAACAATCGTGTGTATGTCCATCTTTGCTGCAATGGGAATAATGAAACTCGGTATTACAACCGTGACCTTTCTCTTTGTCCCAATTAAAATGAGTGCCAGTACCAGTTTGGTTAGCCGAACTTTCTACCAATTCTCCCCCTGGCTTGGGTTCAATATTCATTACCCTTCGGCGAGTTTCTTCTTGTTGAATAGTGGCACATACATTAGTAAATGGTGGGTACGACATACCCAAGGGCACGAGAGTTAGAACTCTGAGGTTGTTGGGTATGATATACTCAAGGGCACAAGAGTCAGAACTGCGAGGTCGTTGGGTACGACATACTCAAGGGCACAATAGTCTTAGTGAGTAAATGGAGCATTGGGAGAGACCCCGAATTGTGAGATGATCTTGAAAATTTCAAGCCTGAGAGGTTCATTGGGAAGGTGATCAATGTCAAGGGACAAGACTTCGAGCTCTTGCCAATCGGGTCCAGTAGAAGAATGTGGCCGGGTCATAATTACGGTCTAAGAACGATTCAGACAAGTCTAGCCAATTTTATACATGGGTTCACATGGAAATTGCCCCGAGAACATGATAGGGGAGGACTTGGACATGGAAGAGGTTCCCGGGCTATCCACGCCCAAGATGATCCCGTTGATCGTTGTTGCCGAGTCACTGTCGCCACTTCATATTCATGGAATCTCTATAACATCCCACATTTCGTATATTATGGTCTTGCTTTTTGCCTTTTGGGTTGAATGTTAGATAAATGCTTATGTGACTGTCCTTAATTCACTGTGAAAATAACAGTATGTTTTAGACCACAAAAAAATTAATAACAAATAATAAAAATTTGCTGCGAGGTCCACTTCTTCAATAATTTTTATCCGATGTTTGGTGATGTTCTTCGGACCGGATAAACCCGAATACATCCGGATAAAATGCCGGATACGAAAACCGGCCCAGGGGAAGGGATAAGACCGGATTGGATATAAAATTTAAAAATAACTAAAAGTTTATATTTCATCTTTTAACAGAGTGATAAAGTGACGTTTTGTATATTCCTTCGCCGGCACTGCTCACCCGAGGATTATCACTAAAATTACCAATCATCGTCACTTCGACCCTTTGCACGATCACAAGTCACCTCCAACCATGCCGGTCATCACCGTCGGTGGCGATTATGTTCCAACTAGTAAGGTAGAAAAGGGGTATAAAGATGATCGTTGTGCCGAGTATGCATAAATCATCCTTTCCACCCCAATTGCATACATCCTTCACATCGAGCCGACCTTTCATGCATGACTCACTAGACGGCTATTCACCTGCTGGTCGACGACAAACGGCCAGCTCATCATCAGCTTCTTGGCAACCACGCTCTCAAATGTCGAGTTCCACCTGCACCGTGGTGCGTGAACCTCCTCTGCGGGCCCATTCTACGCGACGCACACCTTCTCCAATGTCGCCTCTCTTAGCAGCTTTCTTTGGTAGTGGAGTCCGGCTGTACAACCCACAGGAAGTGCCTCTCGCTGCGGGCCCATTCCACGACGCTCACTTCTCCAATGTCGCCTCTCTTAGTAGCTTTCTTTGGTAGTGGAGTCCGGCTGTACAACCCACAGGAAGTGCCTCTCGCTTTTCACGAGGCCGTCCCAAAATTACGTGAACTCGTGTCAGTCGAGAGACCTCATACTCACGAGATTGACTTCCTAGGGACGTGGTTGAGGGGAAGAGGAGCAAAGTCATAGATGGGATTTTAAAGATTTTCAAATGAGAAAGATTTTCAAAGATTTTCATTCTCTCTTCGGTTGCGGATTCTCAAAGATTTTCAAAGATTGTTTTCAAATATTCCAAATCCTATCTTAGGTTGCACTAAACATACGAGAAGCTATTTGCACTAAACATATGATAGGATATTTTTACATTCTGAGGATATGCGGAGGATTTTAAATCTTCCTTTATTCTATCCTATCCCAATCCGAATCCGGATGACCAAACGCAACCCTAATGTTATAGCGGGTATCAAATAAAAAACCGTCTCTAAGTACTTTCTTGCTTCTTCTAAGTCTTACATGTGGCTGAAATAATAATGTATCGTTATAACGACTTCGTATCCTCAGTCATCTGAATGGGATGCACGGGGTTTGAAATAATAGAAGCAAGAGCAAGCTCATCTTTGTTCGGAGCAAATCATATCAGAGGACTTAGGAGATCAACGGTGGATTCGGTTCGTGCCGGGCTTCGAAAACTGGAATTTGAACCCGGTTGCGAGTTGCCGGTGGCCGGATGACCCGGGCCTAATAGACTTAAATGCTCCGCCATACCTATTAAGAGAAGAGTTTTGACGGTCTGGTCTCTCTTTCGATTTTCATAATTACCCTTGCAACAAGAATTAAACAAAAAAACAACAACGCCAAAATTGAAAGGGTTAATTTGTAAAACTTGGATCCGCCGCTCCGTGGAGGATTATAGCATTCCCTTGACGGACCTGCTCTTCTAGTAGCACTCTCTCCCCCAAAAAACTGTTTTCCGACCGCCCATACAAACTACATTCACAAGACAAACTTTTGTATTTTTTTTTTCCTTAATTTCTGTGACAAAATTGAATTAAAGAAATATGAAATGCAAACACAAAATATCAAAAAAGCACAAATCACGTGTTATGATATTCATTATAAAAATAAAAAAAAAGGGGCAGCACTCAAAAAGGTTACGGTCGGTGGGTACAAAGCATATGCTTCGCGTGGTAGCAATCGTCGGATGTGATATCTGGAAAGTGGTCCACTTCCTCTTGCCATTTCCTTTCCTCCACCAGTTCTACTTATCGATGAGAGTCCTATTTTTACGCAATCCAATTTTGACCGTGAAGAAAACATGAAAACCTAATCAGACGAAAAGGCACATAAGCCAGCGTTGGATCGACGACTCTTAACCAAATTTCCTTCCCCAACTTAATGGGTGTTTGCGTAAAAATTTCACCCACAATTAAAATGTGTTTTAGGTGAGTTAAAAACATTCAAAGTTTAAAACGTGCAACGTTTACAAGACACTCATTTGGTTTTTTTTTTTTTTTTGGTTAGAAACAAATCGTACAAATGATTGACTCATTTGTTGAAAAGTTGTCTTTTAAATGATTCAAAATCCAACGTTTACGAGACTCGTATGTTTTTTAGTATAGAAACAAATCGTACAATTTACTGGCTCATTTGGTTGAAAAGTCTTGAAATCAAACCAGATACCGAACTGAGCATAATCAATGCTAGTTATTTTACCGAAAAGTCGATGAAATACCTTTTCAGTATAATGGATTGTTCGATACAAATTGACAGAGGGTGTTTAGGGGCCTTTATTAATTTTGGATAAGAAAGTAAACTGCAAGGACTTTAAAGTTACGGATACTGAGAACAATCATTGCTAACGATATAAATACAAAAAAATAAAGATAAAGATAAATTTGTAAAAAAAAAAGAACGATGAGTTCTGTAATTAAGGGGAATTCTTTACAAATAGTACAATATTGGTATTTATAGCTCGTAATCAACGGTTATAATTCAGCAATACTTATCTACAAACGATTACATTCGAGATTGTCAACTTCATTATTCGATGGTTACATCAACTATACAACCTTAACGGTTATCTCAATTCCACTACTTTGACTCCATTACATCGACTCTACTATCACGACTATTTCTCGTTGAAACCTCTGTCGATTAAACTAAGTCTTCTTTTGGACCGGCTGCACTATATCGACTAATTGTTCTCGACACTTGGCCATTTTCTGCTACTCCTCTACCTCAAATAGGTTTCTATCGACCAAACGGTCGACTACAATACTTGGACACTTTTTTAGGTCAACACTAGAGTATTCAGTTTCTAAATTGCTGTAGCGAAGTTAAATTAAAGAGATATGAAATGAGAGCTCAAACAATGGAAAGCGCAAACCCCCGGCTTATGATTTCCAACTATAAAAGTAAAAAGCGGCAGCACTGTATAAGGCTACATAAACACCATTGCTTAGAGAACGAAATTTTCTTGTAATAAACTTTTCTTGTCGTTTTAATATTGATAAGTACGATTACCTGGCCGACATTTAAGATAGAAGCATATGGAAAAACGTGGCTATTGAGTTCAATCATATTCACCCTCATTGCTTTCTTATATCATTATATATTGCCATGGACAGATAGAAGCCTCTCACTCCTATTGCAAAATCACCCCTCCACCGAAAGCTTAACAACTCAACCCCTGCATAACGCCCCATGGATGCTCCTTCTTGGGCGGCATGCGGCATTGCTTGCCTTGCGGCTGCCTCCTTCCTCCTCCTCCTCTCCGGGCACTTCCGCCGCCGTAAACTTAAGCTACCACCTGGCCCAAAACCTTGGCCCATCATCGGAAACCTCAATCTCATTGGCCCACTCCTGCATCGCTCGCTCCACGATCTCTCTCGCATATACGGGCCCATCATGAAGCTCCAGGTCGGCTCCTACGACATGGTTGTGTGCTCTTCCGCCGACATGGCCAAAGCCTTTCTCAAGACCCACGATGCCGTTTTCGCCTACCGGCCCAAAAACGCCGCAGGCAAGTACACGGCTTATAATTACTCCGGCATGACTTGGTCGCCATATGGGCCCTATTTTCAACAGGCCCGTAAAATCTTCCTTGCACAACTATTTAGTGCCGCAAGGCTTCAATCTTTTGAGTACATAAGAGTGGAGGAGATGAGGTTGTTTACAAGAAATTTATTTGAGGCGAAGGGCCAGTCAATAAATTTGAAAGACCATCTTTCGGATCTCAATCTCAATGCGGTCTGCCGCATGGTCTTAGGGAAGAAGTACACAGATAAGTCAGAGAGCTCCAATATAGTGTCGGCTGAGGAGTTCAGGAAGATGGTTGATGAGTTGTTCTTGCTCACTGGTGTTCTAAATTTGGGCGATTTCATACCTCTGCTGGATTTTCTCGACTTGCAGGTAGTAATTTAGATACCGCGACGTGATTTGATTGACACACGAAATGAATTTTCCAGTTTCGTACAATTTATTTAGCATGTGAAATTAATCGATGTGGTTTGTCTCTTAGATTTTTAGGTCTATAGTTGGTGTATAACATAGACACTCACCATCGGATTAATGACATGCACAAGAGTTTACTTACACAATTAATTTCAAGCACCCATATCACTCATCCAACAATGAATGTGTAAGTTTTTCGTTAGTAATATCAATCCTTCTCTCTTATTTGTCTCTTTCAGGGTTACATAAAGAGAATGAAGGCCGTGAACAAAAAGTTTGATAGGTTTTTGGAGCATGTTTTGGGTGAACATGAGGCAAGGAGAGTTGGAGTCAAGGGTTACGAGACCAAGGATATGGTGGATGTACTATTGCAACATGTGGACGATCCTAATCTTGAGGTGAAGATCGAAAGACATGGGGTGAAAGCCTTGACCCAGGTAAAATTTTTTCCTTTCACTTAATACTAAACAGATTTGAAGAGAAGAATCATAATGATAATCCACATATTGAGGTGCCTACATAAATTCCTTCCCTCGGTTATTTCTTCAGTATTGTCCTATATGTTTACGTTGTTTTTCCAATTTTTGTAAACAAGTGTATATCCTAGGGCAAAATTTTGATGATGTGAGAAAAGTTATATGGAGGAAGTTCTTACAATTCATTCACAAAATAAAGTATGACCGAGTCATTTTTTGTTCATTAAACAATATCTGTCAAGTTGCTTTACGACTTGTGCAAAATTATCAATCAAGTTTCGTCTCTTGAAAAATAAAAAAATCAAAATTTGGCATCATTCAACGTCCCGGGATGCTCTTAATAGGGGAAAATTGTCAAATCAGTCCTAAATCTATTGTACGGCGGCCAATTCAGTCCTAAACCTTTTAATTTTGCCAATTCAGTCCTAAACCTTTCTAATTCTTGCCAATTCAGTTCTTCCTGCCAATTTTGGCCGGCCGGCGCTGACGTGGCCACTGGCCGACGCCGGCCGTCCGGCCAACGCTGACGTGGCAATTTTTTATTATTTTTTTTCAATTTTTTAATCTTTTTTTTTTCTGATTTCTTCCTCTGGCCGGTCCAGCGACCGGCCAGAGGGGAGGGCCGGTGAGGTCGACCTCGCCGTTGCCTGGTTCCGCGAGGCGAGTCGAGCCTCGCCCGGATCCAGCGAGGCTCGACCTCGCCGTCGTGACCAGGGTGTCGGCGAGGTCGGCCTCGCTGGCTGGCTGGCGAGCGCCGACACTGGGTCGCGACGGCGAGGTCGGCCTCGCCGCTCGGGCCTCGCCTCGCCGTCGCCGGTCGCGGCGACGGCGAGGTCGGCCTCGCCGGATCGGCGAGGTTGGACCTCGCCGTCGCGAACATGCCGACGGCGAGGTCGGCCTCGCCGTTCTTGGGCCTCGCCTCGCCGTCGCCTAGATCCCGAGGCAAGGCCGACCTCGCCGACGCCCAGGTCACGACGGTGAGGTCGAGCCTCGCCGGATCTAGGCGAGGCTCGACCTCGCCGTCGCGAACGGCGGCCGCGAGGCGAGGCCGGCCTCGCGCGCGCCGACCTCGTTGCACGTTCGCGACGGCGAGTCCGGCCTCGCCCGGCGTCGGCGAGGTCGGCCTCGCCGTCGCGAGGCGGCGAGGTCGACCTCGCCGGCTCTCCCCTCTGGCCGGCCGCCGGTCGCCAGACCGGCCAGAGGAAGATATCAGAAAAAAAAAGAAAAAAAAAGATTAAAAAATTGCCACGTCAGCGTTGGCCGGACGGCCGGCGGCCACGTCAACGCCGGCCGGTCAAAATTGACCGGAAGGACTGAATTGGCAAGAATTAGAAAGGTTTATGACTGAATTGGCAAAATTAAAAGGTTTAGGACTGAATTGGCCGCCGTATAATAGATTTAGGACTGATTTGACAATTTCCCCCTCTTAATAGCATTATCGTGCTTTCACTTATCATGTAGGAGTTGATAGCCGGTGGAACAGAGGGCTCGGCTGCATCCGTGGAGTGGGCAATGTGCGAACTCCTGAAGAACCCTAAGATATTTAACAAGGCAACACAAGAGCTCGACAACATAATCGGAAGGGAGAGATGGGTCCAAGAAGCGGACGTCGCAAACCTGCCTTATTTAAATGCCGTTATTAGAGAAATGATGAGATTGCACCCGGTGGGGGCATTTCTTGCGCATCGCTTTGCAAGCCAGGACTGCAAGGTCGCTGAGTACGACATACCCAAGGGCACGAGAGTCCTAGTGAGTAAATGGAGCATTGGGAGAGACCCCGAATTGTGGGACGACCCTGAAAATTTCAGGCCTGAGAGGTTCATTGGGAAGGCGATCAATGTCAAGGGACAAGACTTCGAACTCTTGCCATTCGGTTCTGGTAGGAGAATGTGCCCTGGTTATAATCTCGGTCTGAGAATGATTCAAACAAGCCTGGCCAATCTTATACATGGGTTCACATGGAAATTGCCCGAGAACATGACAAGGGAGGACCTGAACATGGAAGAGGTTTCTGGGCTATCCACACCCAAGAAGATCCCATTCATTGCTGTTGCTGAGTCAAGGCTGCCACTTCATCTTTATTGAGTCTGTGTGACATCTCACGCTTCGTCTTTCCTTTTTGTCTTTGGGGTTTAATGATGTTGTGGGTATCAAATCAAAAACCCGCTTAAGTACTTTCACGCTGTGGAAACTAAAAGAGAACCTGAGTCTTTATGAATTGGTAATGAGTTCATATTAAGTTGTCGATAGAGCAATCGATAAGTACTAGCAAACTGGTGACCGATGCAAATTGGCGTTTTGTGGCCGACATGTCATCAATGAAAGGTGATCAACTAAGATAGTAGTCGATGCACGATGACGAGTGGTCAATTACACTACGACATAAGTGAAGACTGTAGATGAGTATCTGAATGAGAACTGAATTAGAAGATATCCGTAAATTGTAACCGTCTATGGATAGTAACGTGCTGTCGTTGAACCAAGATTGCCACTTCAAGTTTATCAAACTCTGTGTAAAATGGCAGGTTTGGTCTACTACGGTCATTCTCTTTGTTCGATTTCGTATTTTATTTTGGGTATCAAATCAAGGGACTGTCTTAATTTTATCCTGATGCTTCTTCCAAGTCTTTTCACGTGACTGTTGTTGTTTTCGTCAACGCACCACCAGGCATGATGGTAAGACAAAAAACAAACTGTAGAGCTTTTCTATGTTAAAAGGAATCCGAGGAAAAGCGACCCAAATCGAGACAGGTTCGGAGCTATCCAAACTCGACCAATCTTTGCGGTTCGAAATAAAATTGGGAAAAAGGGTTACGGGTGAAAAATTGAACTCTTGTCATTGATAACAAGTCATCCCTCAATTATATGGACTGATCAATGTTTTTCTCGCCCAACAAAATGAACGAGAGGGAGAGAGGGTTATGATTGACAAAAGTCCAGTTCTAACGAATGGTTGCACTTCGTAAGAAATAACCAAAGAATTTAAATATTTTTTCAGTTTCTCGAGGGACCCTAGAAATAGCCGACGTAGGAGGCTAGACATGAGCAACCTATTTTAAGTGTTAGCAAAAATAGAAAATAACTTCCCACGGAAAATATTTTCCCTCCATGAGCAATTTGTTATCACTTTGGGGGAAAATGATTTCCTCTTTGTGAAAAGAGGAAATCATTTTCCCAAAGTGAAAGCAAATTGCCCATGGAGGGAAAATGTTTTCCGTGGAGAGAAGTTGATCGCCGGTCACGCCGCCCGTCGGCCGCTGGTCGCCGATCCGCCGCTGCCGCTGCCGGCTGCGGGTCGTCGCCACATTGCTTGCTTTTGGCGATTTTTGAACTTATCATGATTTTTTCTTCTTTTTGGACTTTCTTTTGGCGACTGTTGGTCGGTCATGTCCAAAGAAGAGAATTCATGAGTAATTATCTTATATAAACCTAATTTCAAAATACTTACATGAATAAAATCTAGTCTATTTACTTTTTATCATATTCACCCTCATTGCTTGCTTTTATATTGCCGTAAGACAGATAGAATCCTCTCGCTCCTATTGCAAAATTAACCATCCCTCAGAGCTTAACGACTCAACCCCTGCATAACACCCCATGGATGCTCCTTCTTGGGTGGCATATGGCATTGCTTGCCTTGCCGCCGCCTTCCTCCTCCATCTCTTCCGTCACCTCGGCCGCCACCAACTTAAGCTACCGCCCGGCCCAAAACCTTGGCCCATCATCGGAAACCTCAATCTCATTGGCCCACTCCCGCATTGCTCGCTCCCCGATCTCTCTCGCATATATGGGCCCATGACAGATCGACTAATTTCAATCTGTTTTCTCAAGTCGCACTCGCATTGTACTTGCTTTTCTCTTTCTAATATGGCCAAAAGAAGACTTAAGAGTCAAGACTAAGACGAATACTAAAGCTACGCATGACAACTATTCTGTGCTCAGAATCTGATTCTGGGCAAAAATGATTCTTTTTGATTCTATGCCCGGAAACAATTTCTAAACATTTGAAGGTATTTGGTAACTGTCCAAAATTTTTGTTCTTAGAATAGAAAAAGAACAAAAATGCGTTTGGTAACTACACGAAATTTCTTTTTATTAATAATATTTTGAATTTTTGAATATTTATTTATTTTTTTCTCTGTTTTTTTTCTTTCTTTCCCCTACCTTTCTTGGCCATGGCCGCCGTCACGCTGCCGGGCGACCGGCCACAGCCGGGCCGGCGAGGGCGTGCTGCCCTTGCCGATGGCGGCTACGAGGTCGGCCTCACCCGGCCCAAGGCAAGGCCCGACCTCGCCGGATCCGGCAAGGCCGATCTCGCCGTCGCCACCCGTGGTTTGTCGCCCGGGTGGCGACGGCTAGGTCGAGAGCCTCGCCTAGCCAAGGTGAGGCCGCCTGCCGCCGCCACCCGTGCGACGGACCTGGGTGGCGACGGCAAGGTCGCCTCGCCTTGGCCGGGCGAGGCCGCGAGCCGCCTCGCCGCGCCCCGGCTCAGGTCGGCCGCCGGGGGGTCGGCGGGTGGCGGGGCCGAAGAACAACAACAACCAAAAAAAAGAAAAAACCAAGAAGAATCGCTTTGAAAAAATTGTTCCAGAATCAAAAAGCTACTTTTTTTTTATTCTTGATTCTGTTCTAAAACTGATTCTGGGCACAATCTGTTCCCAAACTGATTCTGGGAACAAAAGAACAGAATCAATCACTATTTGACAAGTTGCCAAACAAGCCCTAAATGCCTCGATTGCAATATCAACGTGACAAGACTTTTCCTTTGCCCTTTTCTGGCCAATACTTAGACTTTTTTACTGTTCTTCTTTTATTTTCGGTGATAAGATTCCTCCTCCTTTGCCCTTTTTGCTCTTCTGGATTTTTGTACAATCTGTGAAGTTTCTTTTCAAAAATAAACTTAAATAAATTCTTCTAATTTAACAATTTCTTATCAAGCCCCGCTGATACTAAATCCAGCCAAATACAACCGACACGACTATCTGACGACGTTAGAGCGGGACATGGATAAAATTTTTCCAATTGGAATGTCCACAGGGGTGTAATTCTTTTAACATCATACTCTGACATTGTCCATATTGGCTATGGTGGCGTCGAGTAGGTATACACACTAGCTAAATTGAATTTACATCATATTTTGGTGCTATCAAATGGCCACATCGGTTGAATTTGGTGTTTGAGAAGACTTGATTGAAAAAATTTAAAAGTAAAAGAACTTAATTAAAAAAATTGAAAATACTTAAAAGTAAAATATCCCTTTTAATAAGAAAAATTCATCATCATCACCATTGATCGGGTATTTATAACTTATAAAATAGACCAATTATCCAAATCAATGCTAATTATAGACAATTTGCCACCCTATTTCATCCTTATAGTTATCGAAATTTGATCATTCTTTTCTTTATGTTTTTTTCCTTCTCTTAATCATGGAAGTTACTGTTTATTTGAATCCCACTCGGTGTAATATGCATGCCTGCAAGCAAATCCAACCAGAAGTATATGTTTTCTAATGTTGTTCTTTTCTTTCTTCATATTCGAGGAATCTCACTTGGTGGGATTTAAGAGAGTTTCCAAATCAAATCTTTCCAAAAGGAACCGGTTCAAACAAGTTAAGCGGTTTGCTCGGGAAAATTAGTAGTACATTCTTTTTGATGTTTCACGGTATGGTTAGCTCAACATTTCCTTTTCAAAAATCATACGGTAGACAAAGCCGGCAATGATCGAATGTTGTAATAAATAACCTTCAAATATTAGGAATTTCTCAATTATCCCCGTTGAAATATCGTTATACAAAGATAAAATCGATACACGCACTATGTGATGATAATTTTACATAAATAAGGTCATGATTATTTTGCACCTGAAAGTATACACTTTTTAAATTTTTCATATGAGTTCTTTTTTGTTAACAAGAAAAAATCATTCTAGATAGGTTAAATAGATTGTGATCTCAAAAATATTTGCATGGCAAACATTCAAGAGAATCCATACGAGTTAGACTTTGCATAAGTTGCATACAGCATAAAAGACGTTACAATCACACAATTTCATTAACTTGAACCCGAACTAAAAAAAATCACCTATAAAAAAGAAATAAAGGAAGCTCCAATAGTTTTGAAACATGGGTCGGTTTAGACCATAAGAAAAGCTGGTATCATTATGCAACAATCATGCCTCAAATAACCTCTCAAAACAGACCTTCCCTGACCTTGTATACCTTTATTTACAAAAGAAAAAAAAGAAGAAAAAGATTGCGAGATTGTGAAATTTCATCAGATCTCATCTTATTTCATATGAAGGAACACGTTTTCTCTATTCTTTTACGATGAATCAATCACCATCATGGACTAATTTCATATGAAGAAACACGTTTTCTCTATTCTTTTATGATGAATCAATCACCATCGTGGACTAATTGGCCCAAACTTCACAGCTTGTTTTGATGATGCTCTCGGCTTTCATGCGGGTACAGTAATACAATTGTCATCCGACAGTTGAGCTTTGTCAACTAATCGATTATTTTGTCGATTGATGTCATTCAACGGTTGACGGTCGATTGTAACTAGTATAGTATCATACTATAAAATTTTTAAATGTGACCAATCACCAGAGTCATTAGAAGCAAAGGAGATCAATGGTACTGAAGGGCTTGAATTGTCGCGGGTTCGTCGGATAGTTTTACGGCATCTTGGCTAGCACTTTCGCTATGAAGATTCCAAGTATCCTTTGCTTTTGCTGTGCAATTGATTATTTTCTGGTGGTGCTAAAACTTGTTCAGCTGAGAAAGAAATTATTCGGCACCGACACGCACTATCGCTTGATGAAAATAACATGTATCCAAGGTCGTTCCAAATTGGTGGGCTCAGTTTCCAAAACTGGCTTTGTCCTGAGTAAGAGGGAGCAAGCGAAGGCCAATTATTCGACACCGGCGCGCGCTATCGCTTGATGAAAATAACATGTATCCAAGGTCGTTCCAAATTGGTGCGCTCTGTTTCCAAAAACAGGCTTTCTCCTGAGTAAGAGGGAGCAAGCGAAGGCCAATTAGATGAAGATCTCTTACTTATTCCAAAAAAATAATTTTATGGTGGTCCGCCCTCATCACGTGCCAGGAATTTTGTTGGATTTTGTAATCATATGGCCGAGCAAGCCGGCAATGATCTAATGACCAGAAAATGTTCCTCGATGCCGTAAAATGAGCAAGGCGCATGTAATCCGGTTATCATGTTTACTTTATTTTGTTTACAAAAGTTTACGCATGGAACGAGCATATTTTATATTGATCATATACCACCGACCAATTTAAATAATCTAGCCTTCTAGATGCAGGCCAGAAAAAATAATCCAATCTTCTAGATAGTGTTGGCATATCTTTTGCTTTTTAACAAACCGGCTAAGCTAAGATGTGATTGCCAAAAGGTACACGTTAAAGTTGGCTCATGCATATACATAATTGATACATGGACTATACATGATGACAATCTTGTATATCTAAGCTGATGATATTTGTCATGAAAAATTTGTATGTGACCTTTTCTGTATGATGTCTTTCTTTGGTGAGAAAGTCTAAGGTAGGTGAAGTGAATTCTAATCTCAAAAGACTTCTCAGCAA